GAGCCCATCAGGTTGAGGCTGCAGTGGCTGTGAGCACGCCATTGCACTCCAGTCTGGGTGACAGAGTGAGACTCTAACTGAAAAAAAAAAAAAAAAAGCCTGTTTAAACATGATAAAAGTTGTTTTGTTTTGTTTTGTTTGAGTTGGAATCTCACTGTCTCCCAGGCTGGAGCACAGTGGTACACTCACAGCCACTGCAGCCTCCACCTGTTAGGTTCAGGTGATCATTCCACCTCAGCCTTCCAAGTAGCTGGAACTACAGGATCACGCTACCACGTTAACCCATGGGCTAATTTTTTGATTTACTGTAGAGATGAGGTCTCATCAACTTGCCCAGGCTGGTCTCGACCCATGGGCTAATTTTTTGATTTACTGTAGAGATGAGGTCTCATCAACTTGCCCAGGCTGGTCTCGAAACCCTGAGTTCAGGCAATCCTCTCACCTGGCCTCCCAAAGTGCTGGAATTATAGGCTTGAGCCATCGCACCTGGCATAAACACAATAAAAGTTAATAAAAAAACATTCGGCAGACAGTAAACTCTCTATACTGCTGTGCAGATTTTGCTTTTCACAATGTTATCTTTGCTTTAGTAAATCTACCTTTCTTTCTTTTTTTTTTTTGAGTTGGAGTCTCACTCTGTCGCCCAGACTGGAATGCAGTGGCCGCTCCCGGCCACCGCAGCCTCGACCTGCTGGGCACCGGCGATCCTTCCGCCTCAGCCTTTCAAGTAGCCGGAATTACAGGCATGCGCTACCATGCCCGGCTGATTTTTTGATTTACTGTAGAGATGAGGTCTCGCTGCCCAGGCGGGTCTCGAACCCGCGGGCTCAGGCAATTCACTCACCTCAGCCTCCCAAAGGCGCGAGATTACAGGCTAAGCCACCGAGCCCGGCTAATCTACCTTTCTTAATTAAAAAAAAAAAAAAAAAAAAATTCAAGGCTCTTGTGGCCCATGGGGGGAAAAAGAGAGAGAGAGAGAGAAATAATTAAGGCTTTTATATTTTCTGATTCCCCACTTAAACTTTCTACTAGCCAACCAACTACCACACTCAATCATGTAGGATAAGAGGTCCCTGCTGTATTAAAAAAATTTTAACGCTCTGGAGCACAGCTGTCTCTCCTTAAACTAATATCTTAACGATTTAAGTCTCTACATTAAAATCATACTTTGCTCACATTCTGAATGAATGTCTGAAAGGTTCTCCTATTTATTACCTTGTGTTGTAAAGACCTCAGTGTTAAGTATGGTTATCTAATTCTCTAGCTCAGAGACCAAAAAAGCAGGAAAATTAAAAGGCAGCAAGCTTAAGCATATTAACAACAAAGACTGTTGACAGCAAGGCAATCTAAAAATCAAATTAAAAGATGGAAGCTGGGCTTGGTGGCTCAAGTCTGTAATCCCAGCACTTTGGGAGGCCTATGTGAGAGGATTGCCTGAGCTCAGGGGTTCGAGACCAGCCTGGGCAACTTGAGAAGACCTCATCTCTACAATATATCAAGCAATAAGCTGAGCATGGTAGTGTGCACCTGTAGCTCCAGCTACTTGAAAGGCTGAGGCAGAAGGATTGCTTAAATCCAGCAGGTCAAGGCTGCAGTGGCCGTGAGCATGCTACTGCACTCCAGCCTTGGCGACAGAATGAGACTCCAACTCAAAAAAAAGAAAGAAATATAGGCGGTCATTGCCTTGGTAGACTCTGGTGTGGTCATGTGCTTTTTGAGCTATGGCTGTCACCATGCTTCCTAGTTCTGGCCCTCTCCCCACCTTGGGGAGGTGGATCTTTTCTCTCTCTCTAATTTACTTTTGAATAAACTATACTTTCTAATCTAAAAAAAAGAAAGATAAACTAAACTGGGCTGGTTTAAGCTAGAGACAAAAAAAACAACAACAACAACAAACAAACTGATAAACGTAACTATCTCCTTAGGGCATTTCTAGATTGTGACAGAGTACAAAGTTGAAACTCATAACAATGTTCCTTTTTCATCAACTAAAGGTTAAATTACATTGACTCTGTATATTCCTTTTTTTTAATGGAAGGGAAGCATTAATAGTTTTAAAATCTCTCCATATATAATGACTAAAATTGAAAATGTTTGGCATTTAGAGTTAAGTTTCAATTATCCAGAAAATTCATTCATATAGAATAGTTAGACATCAATGTAAGGAAAAAAAATGAAGTATTACTGTTTTATTGCTAAGTGCTGCCCATAATGATGTCTTTCAAACTGCAGGTCATCATGACTTATTAATTGGTTAAGAAGTCAATTCAATGGGTTGTAGCATCAATTTTTAAAAAGGTTTTTAAATAGAACAGAAAATACAAGACTACATTGTACAAAGTAAAGGTAAGTATATTTATGAAAAGTTTATTTCAATATTTCTGTACCAGTTTGCTAAGTTAAAGGTATTACTAGCCAGGTGCTGTGGCTCACACCTGTAATCCCAGCACTTTGGGAGGCAGAGGTGAGAAGATTGACTGAGTTCATGGGTTTGAGACCAGCCTGGGCAACTTGGTAAGACCTCATCTCTACAATAAATCAAAAAGTTAGCTGAGCATGATGGTATGTGCCTACAGTTCCAGCTACTTGGAAGGCTGAGGCAGAAGGATCGCCTGAGCTCAGCAGGCTGAGGCTGCAGTGGCTGTGAGCATGCCACTGCACTCCAGCCTGAGCGAGAGTGCAACTCGGACTCAAAAAAAAAGGTATTATTTATTCAGGTTCCCGTCCAAAAAAAAAAGAAAAACGTCATGACTCTAAAAGCACATGTTATTATTATGGAATATAATCATAATACTAAACTTGCAACCCCATCATTTTTTTAAACTGAGAATGCTGAAGAATGCTACAATTTTATTTTATTTTTTATTTTTTGAGTTGGAGTCTCACACCGTCACCCAGGCTAGAGTGCTCTCAGCCACCCCAGTGTTGACCTGTGGGGTTCAGGCGATTCTTTGGCCTCAACCTTTCAAGTAGCTAGAACTACAGGCACATACTACCACTCCAGGCTAATTTTTTGATTTACTGTAGAGACAAGGTCTCATCAAATTGCCTAGATTGGTCTCGAACCCCTGGGCTCAGGCAAAAACCTCTCGCTTCGGCCTCCCAAAGTGCTGGGATTACAGGCTTGAGCCACTGAGCCTGGCGAAAGCTACAATTTTAAAGAGGAAAAAAGTCACTTCTTTGGGAATATTGATGAATAAAGTTACTTATTTTCCCTACTAATCTATCAGTGTATGTATAACTAACATTGTTTGTTTAGCACTAGTTTTGGCTGAGTGTGCAAGTGCTATTTTTTAAAGTGCTTATGACTTTAAAGCAACTTTTAACAACAATCCAAAACTAATAGTGACTTTGATTTTGCTTGTTTATTCTAAGATGCAATTAATGATCTTGGTGTCATTCTTCCAAAGCCACTGATGTAATCTAAAAATCTAAACTTAGCATTCTATACAGGCCACTTGCTCAGTAGCAACACACTCGCTAATACTCAAAATCAGGCAACAGCTATATATGAAGAAACAGCCAAACACCTAAAACTAATTTAAACCACTAAATTAAATATGGCTCTTTCTACTACATTTCAATAGCCCTATTTTACCTAGAAAATTTGTGGAGTTTTTTTTGTTGTTGTTGTTGTTGTTTGTTTGTTCCTTTGAGATGGGGGTCTCACTATGCATTATGTTGCCCAGGCTGGTTGTTAACTCCTGGCCTCAAGCAATCCTCCTGCCTCAGTCTGAGTTGCCTGGATTACAGGTGTGAGTCAACATACCTGGCTAAAACTTGTCTTTCTAGCCATTTTGGAAAAAATTATGGAAAACAACTAGTTTGATACATATATTTTAAAAAATAACCATCTAATTCACAGGATAAATTAATATTTCTAATCCTAAAGTCTCAGATTTGGAAGGAATTCTAATCTATTCCCTATCAAATACAATAATTCCCTTTTTACAATGTTCATTGGAATCAAACCCAGTATTTGACTGAAAAGTCCTCACTACTAACTGGTAACTATATTGATATCTTCTAAAATTGACTCGTGCTATTAATCAGAAGACTGATAAACAATTTCTTTGAATTCCTTGAAAAGCATAGTGTATATATTATTCTCATAAGTCCTGAAAATGCAGTTTTAGAAGGAAAGCGACATTTATTTATCACTAGGGATTCTAGTTGCCCTAACTGTCCAAATACTGATATGTTGAATACTTTGCAAACTTGTGGGGTTTGCTTAAAGCACAAAAGTTAGCTAATCAAAGCCGGGCTTGGTGGCTCAGCCTGTAATCCCAGTGCTTTGGGAGGCTGAGGTGAGTGGATTGCCTGAGCCCGCGGGTTCGAGACCCACCTGGGCAACTTGGTGAGACCTCATCTCTACAATAAATCAAAAATTAGCCGGACATGGTAGTGCAGGCCTGTAGTTCCCGCTACTTGAAAGGCTGAGGTGGAAGGATCACCGGCGCCCAGCAGGTCCAGGCTGCAGTGACTGGAGTGGCTGCACTCCAGTCTGGGTGACAGAGTGAGACTCCAACTCAAAAAAAAAAAAAAAAAACACCAAAGCAGTAATAATAGCAATTGTCAACTCAAACAATCTTAAATTTTCTCTTCAATTTATCAAGTTAACGCTCTCAAGTTTAAAAAGCTTGTAAACTTCTTTAAAGTTGAAATTAGACTGACTTTATCCAAAAAAGTGAGTAACTGCAACTCCAAAATGATAACAAAATGTATGGTGGCAACAGACTCGCATACTGTTCTTGGCCATTTCATTTTGAGATACACTAGATTCTCTCTTGAAACTACTGCTTTACAAGCGCTTTTGAAGAATGCCTAAGCCTCTCTTCCATATGCCTTTCTCTACCTCACCAGCTGGAATCTGTCACAAAAACAGATAATCACATATGATACAGAAATAGTTGATCCTGCTGCAGAATTAGGTTAACACTTCTAAAATGAGGCACGGAGAAGAAGAAAACACACACACAGGCCCTACTTAAATCATTTACCTCGGTCTGGCTTCATTTTCACATCCAATTTCCACCCAGAGTGCTGTGAAACACACACGTGTTGGTTCTTCCAACAGGCTCGCCGCTGATTGTTGAGCTTCTGCTTCGTTTTCCAAATGCTAAAAGAGATCAAAATAAAATCAGTCTGGTCCTGTTCTAGCACCAGGACCTTGCGAGAAAACTACTGTTAAGTTAGGCCTCTTCCTGGCACTAAACTGCGGTGACAGAACCATCGGTTGGTCTGAAAAAAGGCAAAACTCCCTGCACCGCCTCCCCCATCTCCTCCGGATCCAGCACCCCTCTTCCCTGCCTCTGCTCTCCAAGCCAATGTGTCCTTCTCTGACACAGCGTCTCTGAACCAAAGATCTATTTATAACCCGGAGGTGCCGCCGAGAAAGAGAAGAAAAAGAGGCGAGCAACACACACCAAGTGAACTCTTTCGGGAAAAATAAGAAAAGAAAAAGAAAAACCCTTCTGGGAGCAGCGGCACCTCGGCAGAGGCTGGTACAGAAATCCTTCCACCAGGTGCCGGGCGCAGGA